TAATTAAAGGGCTCAGGACAGTGCCTGGGATGGAGTAAATACCCAGCACAGGACCCTTTTCGTTGATGATTGATGATGATTGATACTGCTGCTTTCTTATAAGGGCATCTCCATGTAATGGAAAGACGGAGAGAGAATTACAGTCAGACACAATGTAAAGTGTGGATCCGCTACTTTACTAGCTGGTGACATTGGGCAAGTCAGTTAACTTTTCATTAATTCCACGAACAATGTTTGCCAATTTCCTATTCAGAGGAGCGTATGTGGTTGAGTCAGATGCTGTGCTCAGAGCCAGGATGGAGCATTTTCACAGATTGTGGGATTTTAAGTGATGTGAAGAGACACTGAAATAACCTTGAATTATGCAGTGTGGACGTTCTTTTCCAATTCTCACTCAGTCCTCTGATTACATCAGGGAGAAAGTCTCCAGTTGGGCTGATTCTCTGTACATTTCTGACTCTTGTCACCTCCCTTTTGAACAATAGCAGAGAAACCTCAGGTTGCCACATTGGGGGGGTGGGGGTGGGGTTGCTACATTTGTTTTTATTGTATCTCTTTTTACAGCTCTCTCCCATTTCCCCTCCATTTAAGCTAGTGACAAAGTTTCCTTTTGAATTTATTTATTTAAATGTTTTTTAAAAAGTCTGTGTGAAGAAAAATATTTTAAAAGTAGCATTTCTGGAATGATATGGCCAAATTTGTGAAGGTTGTCCTCAAATGCTGAAATTTGGGACACATCTGGCCCAGCTTTGTGGATAGACAGGCCTGCCTGGTTTGAATCCCAGCAGCCACCCATTCCAAGCCAGGTAACATCGGAACGCTTGGTTCACTTTCTTTTTTTTTTTTCCTTTTTGTCTTTTTTCGTGACCGGTAATGGGATCGCAACCCTCGGTGTCGCGCCTGCACTGCGACCAGCAATGGGATTGCAACCCTCGGTGTCGCTCCCGCACTGCGCTCAACCAGTGAGTGGACCGGTCTCTATATGGGATCCAAACCCTCGGCGG